TAATAAGTAATGCCTAAATTTTATAAAATATATAGTTTAATGTTTTAGATATATACTATTAACAATAATAAAGATATATATAATAACAATAGTGTTTGCCCTTAACCCACTTTTACCCTCCAAATGTTTCGGAATTTTTAAAATAAGCTCCCATTTTAGTATTTATATTAGTTATAACGAAAAATGTTGCTTATTAAAAAATGTTTAAAAAGCTTCAAAATAGTAATTTTCACCAAAAAATTTAAGTCTTTTCTAAAAAAAAAAATCGGCGCTTAGTCGGTTAATAAAAAAACATGCCAAATTTTTTCATAAAATAATTAAAATTGTCCATCTAAATCTATTCATATCCAAAATATCGATAAACGTACAGTAAAACATATACTTTTATTTTCTGCGCCCTAGATCTGCATTTTCTCCCACTGGGTACAGTCCAGTTTTTCAAGCTTCCGAACTCAATTCCTTGGAAATAAATACCTTTCGGGAAATAAAAGACCTAATGTGAATAGAAAAAACTGAAGGACTTCACTAACAAAACAGAATTCTTATACAGTGAGTGTAATAAGTATTTTGCCTCAATACAAATTTGAAAAAATTCCAATTTATACGCCTAAAGCCAGCAAACTAAAGATGTAAAATGAATTATGTATAATGGATTACGTTTGTGGACATATTTAGATCGTATTTCTGCAAGAATCACAGCGAAAGACCTATTGGTCTCGAATATATCGGCCGAAATATATAACAATCCAAAAATGTTTATCACAAAAAAGTATTTTGCTTTTATTTATAAAAAATTGTTACATAGAACACGTTTGGTCTTTTTATAGTTACCATTGCGGGTAACGACATACTATAAGTGATTTGGCAACGATTCCAATAAACCACGGCATCTTTTCGCGAGTATTTTCTCAGATTTACGTTCAATACATTCTCCAGCAATATTTCATTCAATATTTGGTAATTTCTCGTCCTAATCTCAAAATCAGAGTATTAAATATAGTCGTCGCGGCTTCAAAACATCCCAAATATGTTAAGAATAATAAAAAGGAGGTTTTACAAAATATATCGCGAGGACAGGACCTTAAAAACTATTAAAACCAAAATCCGACAAACAAATTATTTAAAAAAATATCGCGAAACCCCATTTTTCTAACTTCGAAAACTTTATGGTTCATTTTTACTGATCTAGGAACCAAAATATACGATGAAAATAGCAATAAGGTGGTCAGATTCAAATATATGGACGGTTTTCTGGCAATAGAAATACATCTTATTTCGAAAATAAATACATCGACCCATTTATTCCCTACTGCATTTTATTTGCAACTGATGGTGTTAATCGGAGATAAAATATAGAATGCGTATTCGCCACCAGCAACCACAGTTTTTCAAAAGACAATAGGATTTAACGAATAATGATGTTTTCTCCCAACTTCAAGTATTGGTTTTTATTACTATTGCCACAAAACCGTTCATATCTTAGAATCTGACCTTCTTATTGCTATTTTCATGGCATATATTGGTTCCTAGATCAATATTACTGGACCATACACATTTCGAAGTCAGAAAAATTGGGTTTCGCGAATTTTTTTTAAATAATTTGTTTGTCGGATTTTGGTTTTTATAGTTTTTAGATTCTGTCCTCGCGTTATATTTTGCAAAACCTCTTCTTTATTATTCTAAACATATTTGGGATGTTTTGAAGCCGCAATGACTATGAATACTCTCATCTTAAGATTAGGACGAGAAAATACCAAATATTAAATGAAATACTGATGGAGAATGTATTGAATGTAAATGTGAGAAAATACCCACGAAAAAATGTCGTGCTGTAATGGAATCGTGGTCAAATCGCTTATAGTAAGTGGTTAACCGCAATCGTAACTATAAAAAGACCAAACGTGTTCAATGTAACAAATTTTTCTAAAATAATAATAAAAAGCAAAATACTTTTTTGTGATAAACATTTGTGTGTTATTATATATTTTGGCCGATATCTTCGAGACCAATAGGTCTTTCGCTGTGATCCTTGCAGAAATACGATCTAAATATGTCCACAAATGTACTCCATCATACATAAGTCATTTTATATCTTTAGTTTGCTGGCTTCAGGCGTATATATTGGAATTTTTTCAAATTTTTATTGAGGCAAAATACTTCTTACACTCACTGTACGTTTAGAATAATAAAATCCAATGATGACTTTCTAAATTTCTTCCTTCTCTACAAATTCCGCCTTCTCTACAAATAGCTGTAAAACAAATTGTTTCATTTATTTTCATAAACTCCATATCTACTTTTTAATTTGACAAGAATATAATTTTATTTTATATAATTTTTGATTTGGATTTTTATACCCTCCACCATAGTATGGAGGATATATTAATTTTGTTTTTCCGTTTGTAACACATCGAAATAATCATTTCCGACCCTATAAAGTATATATATTCTTGATCAGCGTAAAATTCTATGACGATATAGCCATGTTCGTCTTTCTAAACGAATTGAGATAGATCACCAAAATTTTGCATAGAGTCGTCCTTTGTCTGCAGGCAGGTCAAGTTCGAAGATGGCCTTTATTGGTCCACGTTTAGGCTTAGCTCGCGTTATTCAACCGAATTCACTGAAATTCGGTACATTGGGTTCTCATTGGGTACCAAATTTCCCCAATAAAAATTATAAATATGGGTGCATATTTTCGGATAGCCCCCATATAAGGGTACCCCCAATTTTGCGGTATTTTAGGGTTCTTGAGCGCGGTTTTCATCCGAATTCGCTGAAATTCGGTACTTTGAGTTCTTATTGGGTAGCAAATCTCTATACTAAAAATTAAAAATATATGTCAATTTTTCGGGTAGCCCCCATATAAGGGTACCCCCCAATTTTTGGTATGTTTGGAGTTCTTGTGCGCGGTTTTCAACCGAATTCGCTGAAATTTGGTACATTGGGTTCTTATTGGGTACCAAATTTCCCCACTAAAAAATATAATTATAGGTCCACTTTTTCAGGTAGCCCCCATGTAAGGGTGCCTCCCAATTTCCAGTTTTTGTGGGGTTTTGACCGGATTTTTTCACCGAATTTTCTGTAATTTAGTAATTTCAGTTATTATTGGGTAGCAAATCTATCCACAGAAAATTAGTCCCCATATAATGGTACCAGCAATTTTCGATAATTTGAGGTTCTTGAGCGCGCTTTTTAACCGAATTCGCTGAAATTTGGTATTTTGTAGCCATATATGGTAACAAATCTCCCCACCAAAAATTATTAATATTCACCCCTTTTTAGGGGTAGTCCCCATATAACCCCGTTTTTTTTATTAAAATAGTTATATGATTTGTTCCGTGTGTTGCGGTTGGGTAGTCGTTACGGAGAATAGTCAATTTTTACCCTACAAAGACTATTTAGCCATCTGTTGCAAGCATTCCGCCTTCTAAAGGTATTCTTATAAAAGAAACCTCAAACATGACGATAATGAAATATATCGGCAGACATTTAGGAATCTCCTCAATATAGTGATACCTCCTGAAGGAAAGAATTGAGATAAACAATTAAAATATTGGGTTCAATATTGGCATATACCGGTCATTAATTAGGCATAGCCCTCATATAATGATATCCCCAAATATTTACCATTTCCCTACACTATGTAATCAATATTAGTACCCCTTTAGGCATAGCCTCATATAACTTTGTAATCTAAATTACAGTAGTTTGAGGATTTTATACACTACCATGCGTTATCAGTATCAGTCCACTTTTTGGATCTTGCAGATTTTAGGAAAAATCCCCATTAAAATGGCTGAAGTTTGTATTTGTATTTAGAATTATCGGTATATACCCACTTTTTGGTATGTTCCCTATATTTTCATTACATGTATCTGTCAGTATAACTATGGTGGAGGGTATCCAAAGTTCGGCCCGGCCGAGCTTAACGCTTTTTCACTTGTTCTTTTTCGAATTTCAAAAGTTTTGTGAGATTTCGTGTACTGAAACTAAGAGTACGTTTAGACTTACGAAATCTACTCGATCTCAAATTTCAATTACATAGCGTATACGTCAAATATAATGCACTGTATTTGAGAAAATGATTAGCGTGACGTATAAGCTATGGAATTGACGTTTGAGATCGAGTGGATTTAGTAGTCTAAACGTGCTCTAACATAAAATATTTAAATTATATTTATTATAAATTATTATTTATTATGTTGGAATAAGTTTCATGTAAATTGAACATTATTGTTTATTTTCCATTTAAACATTTTACTAACACATTCAGAAAAATATTATTTATATCTTTTCTGGAAGTTATCCATATGAAGTGTAAATATTTATGATCATTTTACAATTAGAGCTCCAGTAGTTCATGCAGAATATAAAACACATGGCTACCACAAATAGGAACCGATCTATATTCACATTGTTTTGGTTTTCAAGGTATTTCTTGGTCAGAATTTTACCACGTGCCGCATTTTGCCACACAAAAATAAAAGAAAAATCACAAACACACCAATCAGCACTTCTCCCCACCCATGAATTTGCAAAAATTCCATCAATTAGCAATGAAAACGAAATTTGTTTTTGATGGAAAAGTAGTTGTTTGGAAAAAATAATATTTGAAATAAGGCAATAAACAACAGGTCATTTGTTTATATTATTATTTTGTTGCTCTCAATGCTTTCCCGCATTATCTCACCAATACATGGGCGGTGAAAATGTTTGTTTTCAAAAGTATGGCATAATCATCATTACATTCATACACACATATGTATGTATCGGCGTAAATCTATTTAGATTTTCATATAATTGTGACATAAATTTTAATTTATATTTTGTCTAAAATTAGAGAATAGTTTTCCACACAAATATGCACACACACACACACACTCGATCACGTCAGTTGCATTCTAATTTCTCAACCTTTATTATTTGATATTTGAATGCCGTTTTCAAAATTGGTTCATTTGATTTGTGTTTCGTTTCGGCGGAGGGGTGACACTTACAACACTCATCGTATTGAACACGATTACCGTCCACTGCAGACAGGTGCGACTCAAATGCATTTTGATCAATTAATCTGTTATCGGATCGGCAAACGGGCGGAAGGGAAGGACGCACAGAGATGTTTCAATGAATTGTGTTTAATTTGTTTCACAAAATTCTTTTTTGTTATATATGTATGTACGGATGCGAGTGATTGTATATTTCTTAAATAGACGAAAAAAGCAAACGGTTCTACGCGCCAACCAACGGACGTCTTAACGGCAAACGAGCGAATATTTAAATGAAACAACTCAGGCGGAGAAAATGCGAAAACACCAAAATGTGAATTGGCCTTTTCCGCTGTTTTTCGCTACGTTGCTCTCTTTCACAGTGTGTGTGTGTGAGTGGGGGAGGGGGAACGTGTTTTTGGCTTTTCTGAAATATGCCAAGATTTTCCAAAAATACTACACTCACATTAACCATAATTAACACTACACTCACACCAATTACATTTGTATTGGTTTCAATTTGTATTCTGTAGCCACACATTAACGTCTAAGCAAGTGACTGGTCAAGTGAACGATGATGAGTGACGACACTGGCCGTCGGGCGAATGAACCAACTGTCTGTAGTATTTTTTGTTTTGTTTTCCTTCAGACATGCACATGAATGATTCGCAATTCGTGGTGTTGTCTGTGAACTAGAATGGTTCATATAAACAGAGATAGAGAGGAAATACCATTGGGACATAGAAAATTGGTTGCCTTATGTGGTATATGCGAATGTTTCGTTTGTACAGTGACTCACAAAACTTAAACAAAATGAATTTTCATAATAGAATAGGGTGACGTAGGGAATGATAGATACCATGCAACGGCTCTGATTGGCTTCAACTTGACAAAGCCCGAACTTATCTTGGTCCCTATTTCATTTCAATTGTGGGCACTGACCTCCACACGCTGCGATGTGCTTGAGCTGATATGTGAGGCGAGATCACCCATAAGAACTATAAAAAAATGGGTTGAGGCGTCGGCTTAGTTGCTCACACTCGGAAAAGAAAAAAAAGAAAAGCAAAACCTCCTAATGTTGGCGACACCTGCAAACGTATAAAGGACGACGATCTGCGAATTTGCACTTGGAATTTACGCACGTTGTACAGAACGGGTGCTGTTTTTGCTTTGGTGGATGTACTCACGAGTACAAAGCCGACATCATTGCCTTACAGGAAAAGCGATGGAAAGGGAAATGAAACGAGATATGAATTTGGCTACGGGTTTATGGTTAACAAAAGAATAAAACACCTCGTCTCCAGATTCACTCCAGTAGATGAGCGAATTGCTATAATCCGTATAAAAGCGAAGTTCTTCTACATCACTCTTATTTACGCCCATTCCCGGACGGAAGACAAAGATGAGCAGATCAAATACATAGAAACAACATATGACCTCTGACCTGGCCATGACATTAAAATTCTGCTAGGAGATAGGAGGGAAAATATTTTTGAATCCACCATCGGAAAATTCTGCCTCCATGACGAAACATCCGACAACGGCATGAGGTTTATTGACTTCGCTCCAGCAATAATCATGGTAGTTCAGCATTCATCTAGTGTTCTAAGAATTATCGGGAGAAAAGGAGAGGGGGAGAAAGGTAATTTCGTAAAAAAGATGAAAGAACAAGAAAAACGTAAGTAAGTGTGAGCAAATCGAGATGTACAGGTGTCAGAATGAAGTCCGGTAATTTGATCAACGAGTAAAACACCAAACCGAAGGCTTTGCTGAAGGCACATCCTCCTGTAGAGATGAAGATGGAAAACTGGTGACAGATACGTTGAGGATCTCGAAGAAGCATTTGGCAAAGCTTCTGGTATCAAATAGTGGCGGTGAAGAGCTCAGAATAGCAATTAATCGGCTGAAGAATAATAAAGCAGCAGATGCCAATGGATTACCATCCGAACTATTAAAGACCGGTGTTCAGATGCTGGTCAGGTGCATGCACCAGCTGATTAGTACAATTTTGCCCAATGATTGAAAACTCACCATCCTGTGCCCCGTGCAAAAAAAGGAGACAAGACGATATGTGCCAACTTTAGAGGGATTAGTCTCCTTCCCAACGCATATAAAGTGCTATCCAGCGTGCTGTGTGAACGAAGGAATCAATGTCATTATTGGACCATACCAATGCGGCTTCAGGTCTGGCAAATGCAACATTGACGAGATTTTCACTCTGCGCTAAATCCTGGAAAATTCCCACGAAAAACACATCGACACATTTCACCAATTCGTTGACTATAACAGACCTATCCGTTCAGAGGTGATTAAAGACATGTCTGTGTTCAGCATTCCTGCAAAACTAATAGGCTATGCAGGATAAAGAAAGAACCTCTCGGAGCCCTTTAATATCGATCGTATGATCTTTTAAACATCCTGCTGAAAAAGGTCATACGAGAGGCAAAGTTGAACAGAAATTGCGCTCTGTACGCCAAACAACACATGTTACTCTCCTCAGTTCGTCCCCAACTAAGGGTCACAATGTTTAAGCTCAAGCTCAAATGGATAACGATTGCGATAGCTGCATTTCTTCTGTTGCCATCCCCGATTTGATCTATCGGTTGTATATTGCAATTTTAATGACGATGAACATTCTTGGTTCCTAAAATAGTCATATGATTGCAACCACTGAAATTACGATTATTTGTCCTCTCGGACTTGGTATAATATTTCCTGGCACACAACGATGCATTGTGTAAACTGATATTTCGCCATATTTCAGAACATTTTGAATAAAAATTAATCTAAACTATCCACGTCTTAATCGTTTCAAAGTTCTATGATTAACACTGAATATTGAATCTAGAGACCCCACAGGCCGCGCAAAATTTTGAAATCTCTTTCATTTTTACCAATCAATGATCATGTTTGTATATTGAGATTATCATATATACCAATCAATGATCCTGTCGCGTTCCCTTAAATGTTCACATCGTCTTTGGCTGTAACGTAAATCAAACACAGTTGTAAATACTTTTGTATTATATATATATATATATATATATATAAACATTTTTATTCATATATAAAATAAGTCTGTGATATATTTTATTTTGTTTTTTTTTTGTTTGTTTGTTTGTCATATCGTCATATGTATGTAGGTTTTGTGAATTATATACTTCGTATATGTAAATAACATGTTATACATAATATATGATTTTTAATGTTTGTTTGTATGTATGTAGGTTTATAACATTCACATATATATGGCAATATATATAAAAACATAAAAATTCCATATATGCATCAATAAATATAAATATAAGTTTTGGTTTATTTGTAGGTACTTGTTTAGTGATCGGTCGTCCCTTTTTGTTGTATGTATTTGTATATATGTATCAATAATTTACGTTTACGTTATACATTCGATACAATTAAAAAAATATGTAGTAAATTGTAACAAAAACAACGAGTCGAAAATATATGTACGTTTGTTGGTATCGTTCTTGCGTTTTTTAGTTTAACTTAAAATTATAGCATTCGACTAATTTTCAAATTGTTCCCTTCGGCGTTTGTTACGCAGATTTATTCCCAGCAATGATGCTAATCCTAAGGCACATAACTGAAATAGATAAATTATGAATATATGTTAAAAATGTATAGCGGAAAATGTTAATAATTTTTTTATTTCCAATGACTGGATTTTTACTATTGCAATTAGGTAATATATTGAAGCAGAAATAATAGAACAATAGAACAATAGAATTCATTGGGTACCATAAATTATACATTATGGGGGCTTTACTGAATATGGATTACTTCTGGTAGGAATATTTGGAAGATGATAAAATTAACAAGTGAAAAAGGCTGGGCCGAACGTGGTATACCTTCCACCACAGGTGTAATGATAGTCAATTCAAATGAAAATATAGGGAACATACCAAACAGTATACCTATACAAACCAAGCGATTGTTGTAAACCATATGGAACAGCAAATACAAATTTCAGCAATTTTGAATTGAGATTTTTCTAAAATGCCAAACATCAAAATGTGTGTATAAAATACCCAAAATACTGCAAAGTTATATGAGACCATCACCAACATACTCAGGATTTTATTTCGGTGAGATTGGAAGCTGCTGGTTCAATATGAAAATTTGTATGGGTATATTGATTATATCGTGTATGAATTACCGAACATTTGGAGTTATCATTATATGAAATTCTATGACCGATATAGACCAATTTTGAAACTAGCATTTTTGCAATACCGAAAATCGTTAGTTCATTCTCGAACCTGATGTTCTAGTTTTTTATCTCGATATCCTCCGAGAGTAGAATGATTACAACAGATGGCTAAATCGGCGAAATCGTCTTAGAGTACGGGTGGTATGCAACTATATGGGGACAAACCCAAAACGCGGAACAAATCAGTCAACTATTTTAATAATTTATGGGAGTAATATTAGTTACCATATACGACTACAAAACTCCAAAATACAGTAAATTTGGCTGAAAACGTGCACAAGAACCGAAAAATATCGAAAATTGAAGGGTACCCTTATGTGGGAGCTATCCGGATGGGATGGGTACATGGATCTATATAAATAAAATTTAGATGAGAGATGCTACCCCATAAAAACTCAATTAAGCCGAATTCGATTGAAAAACACGCTCAAAACCCCCAAAATACTAAAAATTGGAGTATGCCGTTATGTGGGGAGGCTACCAGAAAAAGTGGACGTATATTTATATTTTTTTAGTAGAGAAATTTGGTACCAAAATACCGAAAATTGGGGGGAACCCTTTATATGTGAACTATGCCTAAACGCCAATGCCTGTGGAAGCAATAGCCCATCTACGAACTGCAGACAAAATACATATTTACTGCTAAAGCGTAGATCAATGGTGAAATTGTTTCGTGAAGGTACATTTTAGGCTTTAAGAACCCAAAATGGCAAAATTTAGTCACTTCGAAATGAAAATGCGACTAACATATCTCATACCATGAAAACTCTACCTTCAATACGACGAGCTCTATCATAAACCTCGACAAATTTGTAATTTTACAGTGATCAACAATTTGACATCTCCGACGAATATGTCGAGGATATACCCGACCTCTCATGCTGGGTATAACTGGAAGCGAAAGAACCAAATTCGGACTATCGGATAAAACGGTCAATCGGATAAAACGCAATAATCAGTATTCTAGTCTGAAGTAGGTATCATTCAACATTTCGGGCCAATATTTGAAGATGGCTGTTTAGGATTTAAAGTAAACGTGACACACGTTATTTGAGATTTAATTCATTACGCTATACAAAATCAGTCGTAATTTCTCAATCGAACAAACGTTGGGTCTTTAGTGCATCTTTTACTTTAACCAATCGAACGAACATTTTTGTATGTGGGGGATATATCTAAATATGAAACGATTTTTCCAAATTAATCGTCAACAAATACTATTCTAGCTTCAAGCCTCAAGTCCATGTAAAATTGTCTATTATTTGGATAGAAGTAATGTCATTCGTGCATCATTAACATGTAATATCTGAGAGCTTTACCTAAAAATAACACACATTATTGGAGACACAACGCAGTTAGTTATGCAAAGTTTCTGTCAATCGGACATACTTAGGGTCTTTGGTGCGCCATATACATGAAATCGGATGAAAGTATATGTATATGGAAGTTATACTTAAATCTGAACCGAATCTACTCAATTTGATGATAAATGCAAACTGAACGTTGCATTTTGCATACAAAGATATAATTGATGGTAGTGTAGGATATACAACATGTTTTTACTCTCACTCATATATGCAGTTTTATCTGTTTTTGACATCTAAATTGGTACTAAAAATGTTTAAATAAGAAACTTAGTTGTTCAGAAATGTTAATAGCTAATTTACACGCCTCATATTCAACTGAATTCTCGTCAAATTTATATCACCACTATAACTATGAACTGTCATAACTGTATTTTCATACCTAACATAGACAACTATGTACGCTAACATAAATGATGTCAAGGACAACTTTCTATATAAATGCTATCACGTAAGTTATACATACTTCCAATAAGAAGATAGTCCATTTCACTGTCAAACCAATTTGACTATTTTTGGAAGCATTCTCTTCGAGAACTTCCAAACAGCCATCTTTGAAAAGATTCTCCAGTGTTCGCTCCTGGTTCAGGTAACATTTTTTCGGTATTGCTCCAGCAATGGGTTCATAGTCCGCAGAACTATTCCGGCCGCAACAGTGGTTCTGAAATGACATTGCAGTTAGTCACAAATTTATATATTATCACAGCTTGAATAATATTTACACTTGTTTCTATACTCGAAATCCGGTCTTCATTTAGCGTGTAATTTGACCACAAATTATTGAAATCATTACGGGCATTTGAAACGTAGTCTGTAGAATGGGCTGCCACAATAATGTAGAGTTGGAATGCCAACAGAAATCCCACACACATGACATACTACAGTGTTGAGCGGTGGAGCAGAGGGCGAAGTGACAACGACAACAAAACGCATCATCGCCACACATTAAACAGAAAAGTAAACAAACAGGAGAAACAAAAAGCAAAAGGATAATGTTAAAAAATGAACTCATCCTTTCTTTCATTTCATGGTAAGGAAAATACTCACACTCCACACCAGACTCAAAGAATGACGACAAGTTCCAATACAGCCCGTAAATGAGGTGAGTATAATAAAGGATCCAATGAATATCTGCACCACCACCGCCACATGCTCAAAGGTGCCCGGTGTGGAGGAATTTAATTCATACACAGACAATGCTATCAGACCAATGCCAAGTAACTGTTAAGAAGAAAAAATTGTGTATTCATATTAAATACATAGATTTTCATTCAAAATGAGTAATTTGAGACCAATTGGCGTATTATTATTATGATTATTTGTCATTTGTTTAATACGTATACGCCGCGAGGTGTGTGTAGTCATCTTCCTGAAATTGCTCATACGTACCGATAGCACGGTGTTGACCATGCTCAAGAGCACTTTGTAAAATGACAACTGACAACTCATCTTCCTCCGTGCTTGTATTCGAAATGATTTGGAAATATTTATTTAAATTGTATTTACACGAAATACACAAAACAATATTGAATCGAACATCCAGTGCACTTTTGTGCTCAGAATATTTCCAATTTACTTCTCCCCACTTGGCGGTGTTCGGTTTATTTCGCTTCGCGTTGTTTTTATTACTTTGCACTGACCACCACTTGCTTACACAGCCGACAATGAACTACTAACCGCTTTGCCTGTGTACTCATCTTGAATTGGATTTTCACTTTTGTGCGTTGTGAGTCCTTTTATTGCCATGCTTTGCTGTTGTTGTTTTTCTTTGTTTGTCCATTTTGTTTTGCTCTATTTTCTGGCGTTGTTGTTGTTGTTTTGAGGAGGTATTTGTAGGGTAGTATGTCATTGTATCCAGCAAATGATGTCATGGGTTGAGTTCCTTTTCCTATTCTCTCAATGTTGCTCTTCGGTGATGTCAAATAAAGCGATTTTTAAAATTATTTTTTTACGTTTAGGAGAGTTCATTTAAAATGACAGTTTTCTTTAAATGTTGTTACCCTTATATGAGATAATGAAGGAAGAATAGGTTTCTTGCCTTGGAAGCCTTGCAAATAACAAATAAAAATAAATATATATTCAGTCGGTTTTATTTAGAAAATTTGGGTATATGCAAGGTGTGCCTTTAATTTTCCTAATGTAACATACAAATTTGAATTATGCTATCTTCTAATGACTTTGGCTGTATGCGAACAATATGGGTCACACGTAGTATTTTTGGTGTATCCTTAAAGAGATGGGCTCCATATGTATAAATACGATAGTTACTGCAAAGTTTCATGTCAGTCGACAGACATAGGGACTTGTTGTTCCATTTTTATGAAATTGAACAAAATTATATATGAGAGTTATAAGTAAATCTTAACCGATTTAAAACAGATTTGGCACACACCATTTGAATGCTGTATTAAAGCGTGAGTTCAACATTTCGTCTTCATCGTACAAAAGTTGGGTATTTGTTCCGTTGGGTATTTATATTAAATCGGCCGAGTATTCATGTATGAGAACAATATCTATATCTGAATCAATTTCAATATAGTATGCGATGGAAAATATTGTCCCAGTTGGACAATCGTTGGCTATTTTTGTGTTGCCGTATATTGGCCTTTTTTTGATCTCGGCTGACAAAATACACCTGTGTACAAAATGCCATAAAGTGAACTTATATTGGACGTTTCATAAAATAGGCGTTCTACATAGAACAGAACATAGAACAGTTAAACATCCTGTTTACGACATCAAAATGCCGAAAGTGGTTTGCGTTATATACATTTTGGCGTTTTTTCCATCACATTACAACACTGGTTCTCACTTACTTTTCATGTTTCATTGCAGGCAACTTCGTAGCGTAAACACTTCTCTGATAGAAAGTGTTGAGTTTTATTTTGAAGAGAATATTCATTTGAGGACGAACCACTTGTAAATGTATTAGTGAAAAGTTAAAAATAAGTTCAATGCCACATTGTTTAGAATGTTTTCATATAAACACATTTATATTAATCTGCCTCTCACTGGAATATTCGAAAAATGTAAAGAAATTTTTATACGACGATATTCGAAATGTGTAGGTGGTAACATACAAATATTTTTTTAAAAAGAATTAACACTTTAAAGATTTCAAGCTTTAGATATTACATGTGGTTTGTTACTAATAAAAAGTGAAATAATAATGTTGCTATTTAATTTGTATATAGGGATTTTGTAGTGTGAAAAGTTGCATTTTCAGGGTCCTTTGTATGGGAGATATTCTTTAACGTGGACCTACAACAAATTTGTTAATGTATTTGACCAAATTAGAAGTAAACTGACAATTTTTATCAAATTTAGTTAAATTTTAACGATTTTTTTGAGAAAAAAACTTAAAATTTCAGAACCCATTTTATGGGAGTTGTGCCAAATATTTGCCGTAGAATTTTTGGCCCCAGATAATATTAAATCACGAAATAAGTGTTAAGTTGAAATCAGAGTTCTATCGACGTTTCTTTGATTATTGAAGCATTTTGAATCATGACGTACCACTATGGGTCAGAGATCCCAGGGTCCTTTGTATGGGAGATATTCTTTAACGTGGACCTACAGCAAATTTGTTAATGTATTTGACCAAATTAGAAGTAAACTGACAATTTTTATCAAATTTAGTTAAATGTTAACGATTTTTTTGAGTAAAAAACTTAAAATTTCAGAACCCATTTTATGGGAGTTGTGCCAAATATTTGCCGTAGAATTTTTGGCCCCAGATAATATTAAATCACGAAATAAGTGTTAAGTGGAAATCAGAGTTCTATCGACGTTTCTTTGATTATTGAAGCATTTTGAATCATGACGTACCACTATGGGTCAAAGATCCCATTGTTTGGCCATTATTAGAACAGTGGGTTTTTGAAATAAATAAATATCACATATAAGGGATTCGATTAGGCTGATTACGGTTCTTCAAAAAAAATCAGATTTTGAAAATCAAATAAAATGAAATTTTAAATATTTAATTTTTGGCAGTATTTAAAATCAGAATAGCATGAAATCGTATTTTTGTGTATTATGGTCTTAAAGCTAAAATTTAGATTATGACCAAGATAGTTCAATTGATTCAATTCAGCTCAAAATCCTAAAACAGGGTATATTTATGAGGGACCTACCCCTAGTTTTTGGTACGAAGATTTCACATCCAATGAGTATTTAAAATACTAAATTACAAACAATTTGGTTGAAAAACGCGCTCTAAATATCTAAACAACCAACATTAGGGAGATAACGTTGATTGAAGGCGAGAATAATATCTTCCAAGTTTATCATCAGCATGCTATGTTAGTAAAGGCAATTTCAATTTTTTATTAAATTTTTAATAGTACATTTACATTGTGCCAGGTTTCGTTAACCCAGTGGGTTTCAATTTTCAATTCCATTGTATACTTGTCATATAAATTCTCATAAAGTAGGTTAACCTTGTAAAAAGTTCTAGAGTAAATGCCGTTTAAATTGAAACTAACTATTTTGCAAAAACAAAATACAAATGGTATCCCAAATAACCCGCCAACACTTCTATAAATTATTATTTTATTTGTAACCGTGACCCACAATGTTATAAAATTGTACTGGTGCAAAAGCTCAAAGTCTGCAGATCTGATCAAATATTTTAGAGTAGTAAAATAACAAAGATGGGAAAGTGATCCAGAACCACCCTAATGCGTATACATAAAAATCGTTTAAAGCAAAAATAATCGTCCTACCCTATGGATTGTTTATTGTATTAGTACGAACATACACACAAGTGATTCATGTGTAGAGAAAAAGTGTGTTAATGAATGTTTTGCTGTAAAAGAAAAGAATTATCCTTGTTGGTGACAGTACTAACACATTGGGGCATAGTAGGTGGACTTATAACTTTAAGAAGTTACTTTATAAGGAAAATGTAATGAAAACTGTTATTTATTATTTTAAATATTTAAAGAACTCTTAAACATCTTTTTAAGAATGTTAAATTCTCCCTAAAAACTTAACTAAAAATATATTTTTTATATCTTTGTAACCAAATCTGGTATTAAGACAAATCTAAAATATAATATAATACATATAAATTATTATATTATATTTTAGATTACTGAAATATATCGTTTGAAATGCGACATTTTTATTATCTAATATTTGAGTAACATTAATATTCTATTATTATAAACACAGAGTTGATAATACCACTGATTTGAAAACAATTACAAGTATCATTATATGTTGGGTATAATATTTGACAGGCAATGCTGTTTATTTTTTCATACCCTCGTGGAATGGTAATGTCCTCAGGGATGTAAAACAAAAACAACCCATGACTATTTTACAACGTTAATTGTGACTAAAAGTTGTTGACCTAATTTTAAAGCAGATAAAATTTCCCATTTACGACAACTGTTGAACTTGTGATACATACAAACATTTATAGTTTGCCCTCTTTAGGAATGTTACACATGCAATAGGGCACCATTAATACACAGGGAGATACGAGCGAAATAATTACCATTTAATCCTCCTTGTTGTTATTAAACACACCTTGTGAATAATTCATATACTGTAGCTGTATGACCAGGAGAATAACGCGCATGTTGTGTGTGTATGTATACTCAACCTGTAGGAACCAAATAGATTTGTTAAATCTGTTGGTATCATCTTTTAATTTGTATTTACAAAGCAACAAGTTGTTGTTTTTTTAACACTTATTCCAAAAGAACAGATGAGGGAGATTTGTTTTCCGTATTTTCTCTTTGCTTTCTGATATTTAACCCCCCAACGTCAGAAACAAACTTAATCAATGTTGCTGAACTGCCCCGAAATGTTGTTGCACGCAATTTCTTAATCAAAACAAAAATAACGTCTTCTTGACATTTCCATTTGTAAACAAATTATTTATCAACATGTCAAACATGTCAGAGCTTTCAACAAAAGCTTTATGTTTAAACATTTATTGTTTTGTATACAAGATAGTAGAATGACAGATGCTTACACACACATATATATAGATGTCCAAGTTTACGTTAGTTCATATCGTAGGTGTAGATAGGTGTTCGTGTGCGATGGACCCAATTCAAGGGTATTGGTTGCCCTTAAACCTAAAGTTCAAAGAACTTTTCCAAATTTCCCGCACAATTTTTGTTAATGGAAAACAATCGAAAGTCAATTAATTTGTTGAATTTTTTATTTGAAATGTGTGCAGGGAAAATTAATGTTGTTTTCTTTCTAATTAGTCTTTTATAGAATAATTGAAAATAAAAAAGAGAAAAACTTTTTTATTTGTACTATTTTGCTTTGAAATGTTATTTATTTACATTATAACTTTATTTGATATTGTGGAAATTTTGTGGTTTGCACTCGAATCGAAATAGACCGATTAGATTAAATTGAGCATGTTGACAGTCAAGTTAATCTAACTTTAGTTATCATATAACTATAGCTTCAAATTTGTTATCGTCCACATAGGATAAAAAATTATGAATTCGGCTCGCGTAATGTTCCATTAATACAAATACATCTAATTGCGTTAATTAGATTCCACAAAAAATTTTTTTAATGTTTCCTTTCTACGTAACTCGACACATATAATTCGGAAAAAAATTATTAGTAGTAAAAAAACGACAGTAGAGAAAGAGAGTCACATGGATCAATTGAATGCCACCTGTATTTTGACCCGGTGGCATTCTTGGAATGGGGGTCACTTATGGAGAGTAATTATAAATATCCGAAAAGTATTAAAATTTACTAAATTTGGTACAATTTCGTAGCATGTGAACTGAAGGAGCTAAAAACTTTAAATTTGAACTGTGAATCAGATTGACAAGTAGGGTCGATATAAGGAGCAGGTTCTGGAAGTGTGTATTCATGTATACAAAAATTACTGTATGATACTATAGTTTTAATTTGGAGTTAAGGATTGAGATGGAATCTTGGAAATTTGAAATTAACATTACCATAGGAGTTTAGGATTGGGATATGTACGTAGTTTTTGAAATTTTTGACTTATGTGTACGAAAAGTAGTATTCGTACTATAATTAGTACAATTAGAATTTGGGTGCTATAACACAGAAATTTGGCGTTAGGATCATTGTTGGGGTGTAGGATTGGATTGTGTACTAAATGGTACTAAATTTGGATTTGGATGAACCGATAGAGCTGGAATCTTGACATTTGAAGTTAGGATCACTGTTGCTACAACTAAAAGTGTTTGACCTATGTAGGAAGTTCCGGAAATTCGTACTAATGAGTGGGTTTGGATGAACCTATATAGAGCTGGACCACTAAAATTTTGGAAATAAGGCTACTGTTGGAGTGTAGGATTGGGGTATGGATATAGTGTTGGAAATGCATACTTATTAATACTAAATTCGATACAATTTGAATTTTGGCTGAACTGATAGAGCTATTTGGATGTAGAATTGAGCTATGTAGGAAGTTTTGGAAATGTATACTAATGTGTATTAAATTTTGTACAATTGGAATTTTTGGTGAAACGATAGAGCTAGAATTCTGAAATTTTGAGTTAGGGTCACTGTTCGGGTGTACGACTGGGATAGGTAGAAATTTTTATAAAATTGTGCTAATGTGTTCTAAATGGTTGTTTTATTGGGAAATATGATTTATATTAATGAGTAGTATTTAATGGTACTAAATTTGGCAAAATTAAGATTTGGGTGAACCTATTGAGATCAAATCATGAAATTTGGAATTAATTTTGAAAATAAGTACTACAGGAGTACGAAAGGTAATAAATTAGTATAGAGCTATATTTTTGATGCGGTCAGAATTGGTGTGTGTATGTGTAGATAAAGCTTTAGAAATGCGTACTATAATATAATATTTGTGTGTATGTTGATTAGCACTTCTGGCATATGCAGCTCACTGCAAAAACAAAGTAAAATATTTAGACATATTTAAGGGGACCCCACCCATTCTCAATTTCAAAAAAATTAATTTTGTTTTTTGATTTGCACTAATTCATGAACGTCCCTATAAAATTTCAAATGAAAATCTCGCGGTCTGTGGACTCTGAGTGTTGCCCAGCTAATTTTCGGGTGGGTTAAAGAAACAAACAAACAATTTTTAATAATACGAATAATGCAATTTTAAATGACCCACTTTATAATATACTAATAGAAAGACACTATTGTGTGTTATCTATGCCATTAATCTATGAACTTCATCAATGGCTCTGAATCTCTTGTTATCAGCAATATATTTCACAGATGAGTAAATTAATGTCATTGCAATCTTGTTTTCATTGTTTATTCTTAATTTTTTATTTTGTTTCATTGTCTTTGTAAATAAATTACTAAATAAATTACAACACAGTTAACAGACATTTATAAAAATTATAATAAATACACACGCAGAGGGGAAAACATTTATACATAAAAACTAAATTCAAATTAAAATACATACATACGTACAGATACAGGGGAGGTGGGGAAACAGACATTTCGTTCTTAACTTATAAAATACATTTTTGTTTTGTTTTTATGTTTAAAATAACCAACAATTAGACTTTTTATAAATTGCACTTGTTTCATGTGTTTTCTAATTACAATAATTAATCATTTTCTTCATTTTCAATAATTGTAAAATTTTATATAAAAAATAAGATTCGGTGGTGGTCGGTGTTGTTTCAATTTAAAATTCATACATTTAACATTACAAAAATACATTAGAGTTTACAGTAGATGTGAGAGTATGAGATGCCAAATTTATTATAAATTTGTACTTTCTAAAGTTAGTCGATAGGTAGATAATTATAAAAAACAAAAGTCTATTGGAATTCTTAGAACTGCATGCGCCTTTGAGTATTGCGGAAACTGATGGCCAAAAATACTGCCAACAGAAAACCTATGATCTGCAATGAAATTCAAATTTAATACATTGAAAAAACAAATGGAATGTCCAGCACTTACCACAAACGCCACCAGAGACCATGAAACAACTGTAAATATATATGCCTCATTTTCATAGTGTCTTTGTAATTTATCCTTGCAGCCTTCGTAGAATAGATTGCTGGCCTTGGAGGCATCTTCATCGATATAACAACTGATGGGTATCGCTTTATTGAGAGTGACATAATCATTTGGACTGACTTTGCCGCAACATTCGTGTTCACGTTGAATCACATCCATGGCATCCGATTCCCAAGCCTTGTTGACAGTGTCCACAGCACTGCGTACTCCTGTATCAGTCATTCCCACCGAAGTTAATGCAATTTGTACGGCTGCCAGTACCAATAGGAAAACTGCACACTACATGTATAAAAAGAAAATAAAACAGAAATTGTTGTTGTAGTCAATACCTTTTATAAGATAATATATGTATGTATATATCTTCGTATTATATTCACTTACAGTTGCTGTCAAGCAAACAGACTCACGTATGGCTGCAAAACATCCCAAAAAGGCAAAGAAAACAATCAGCGAACATGCAATGTAGGCACCGATTGCTATATCTTCACGCATAGAATCGGGATTGAATGAAATCGCAATAATCGATCCAAGGGCAAAGAGCTGAAAGGATATTAAAAGGAAAATAAAAAATTACATGTATTAAAAGCAGCTGTACGATACAACAAAAAAAAAAACGATACATAAAATATGATAAGATTTGCACGATTTTTTATATTATTATTATTTATATTAAATTTATCATTCCGTTTGCAACAATATTGAAGCAATATTGACGTTTTTGCACCGAATTGACTGTAATTTGTTATTTTGGGTTCTCATTGAGTAACACATATAAATACCAAAAATTATTAATTTTGAAACAAGTTTTAGGGTAGCCCGATAATAGTTAGCCACCGATATGGGGATTTTTGGCACGTTTTCAATCAACATAGCTTAAATTTTGTATTTTGAGTTCTCAGAACGCTATCACCACATCTACGCACTAAAAATTATTTATATTGGCCCAAGTTGCTATTTTGAGAGTTTTGGACACGTTTTTCAACTGACTTGGCTATATTTTGGTATTTTGTATTCTCATTGGATGTCAAATCTCACTACCAAAAATTTTAATATCGATCTCCGTTTTATTATAGCCTCATACAACGGTAGTCCCACTATTATATCATTTTTTTTTCTAAAGTACTTTTCGGTATGTTTAAGGACGTTTCATAACAAGAGTTTTCTCCTAGGATGACCTTTTATTTTTATACCCTCCACCATAGTATGGAGGATATATTAGTTTTGTTTTTCCGTTTGTAACGCATCGAAATAATCATTTCCGACCCTATAAAGTGTATATATTCTTGATCAGCGTAAAATTCTATGACGATCTAAGCATGTCCGTCTGTCTGTTGTAATCACTCTAGCGTCTAAACGAATTGAGATAGAGCTCCAAAATTTTGCATGGAGTCGTATTTTGTCTGCAGGCAGATAAACATCGTAGATGGGCTATATCGGTTCACGTTTAGGCATAGCTCCCATATAAGGGTACCCCCAAATTTTCAGTATTTTGGGGTTCTTGAGCGCGTTTATTTTTGGGTTATTTTTGGATATCAAATTTCTCCACCAGAAATTATAAATATAGGTCCACTTTTTCTAACAGCCCCCATATAACGGTACCTCCCAATTTTCAGTTTTTGGGGGGTTTTGACCGGATTTTTTCACCGAATTGGCTGTAATTTAGAATAAACTGTATCCACCCGCATTTAGGACCAGGTCCTACATGAAACATCCTACCTTTTTAATATTTTGCGTGATGGACGATATTGGGATTGAAAACTAAAATATGGAACTTGAGTTACATCGGCCCTTAATTAGGCCTAACCCCTTATATAATGAAAACACCAATGTTGTCAATATTGGTCCCGCTGTAGTATGCCTCATATATAATATTGCCCTTTAAATTGGAGTATTTTCATGATTTTATACACATGTTTCACCGTATCATGCGTTAATAATATATGTCAATATTTTAGGGTTTTGAGATTTTAGGAAAACCCCCATTGAAATTGTTGAATTTGGTATTTGGTTTACAACAATCGATTGGAAGAATTATCGTTATATGTATGTTTCCTATGTTTTCATTTCAAACAATTGCCAGTATTCTATGGTGGAGGGTATCCAAAGTTTGGCCCGGCCGAACTTAACGCTTTTTTACTTGTTTTAATTGACATTCTCAAGGTTGAGGTTATAAAAATTCCGACCGGGCCGAAATTAACATAGTTTTTGTTTATAATGCCAGATTTTAGAGATTAAAGAGTTTTGTTGGGCGGCAATGGTATCTATAATTATTTTTAGAGCAGATTTCTATCCATCTACTTTGGCTGAAATAGAAACATAAAATCGATTAGGATCGTCATTTAATAGCATACATTGAAAACATTTTGCATCGAATTTGGTATTTTATACTTTATAAATCCTAAGTGGTTACTTCGACGAATTCCAACTCCAATAATATTTTTCAGAAATTTACATAAAATATCGTTTTCAAAATTTGAGAAATGCTACATAGGGTTATTCTATCGAGAATATTGTCAAATATGATTTTAGAATAAACATTATCAGCCCGATCATGTATTCTATGCTCCCTATGTATTCAACCCTCGCACGCCCAAAGGAAAAGATTGAAAGACCGAAACAAAATTTCAATATACCGTGCGGGTCTCCGAATTTGAATCAAATCCAACGAAATTATTTTGTCTAAAAAGTACTTCGATACCAATTGTCGCCTATTTCGTCTTTCGGGACAAGGGCGATAAGTGGTATACAAAAAAAAAATGGCTGAAGTCTTGGAGAAATTCGAAAACGAAGAAGAGAAGACTAATTATGGTGAACCATGACAATGCGAGCGCTAATACAACGGCATTTAGTGCAGAAGAACTTGTGGCAGAAGATATAGCTCCCATATGTATATTTCGAGGGTGATAGTAAAAATTCCTTTTGAATAGACATATTATCTGGAAGCCTAAATTGAAAATACGACTAAAAACAGCAAAATAGCAATCATTGAACCGTTGATTTTATTTTATTTTATTTTTATTTTGAAAAAATTTAATTATCCTTTTAAACTCGAAGTTCCACCCTCATTGTTTGAGTATACGAAAAACTATACCTATTTCCACATTCAACCTTATTGCGGGGAATAAAAATATAAAATGAACGCGTTTCATTAAAGTAATTAATTGAAATTGTTTAAAAATAATAAAAATAATCCCTCTGTTTTGTTGATTTTAAATATATTTTAATCCAATAAATAATAAAATATGTACCTGGGAAGGTATGGTCATTAAACATAAAAAAACGATTTTATGGTCATAAGACCCACAGAAATGAATATAATTTTTATAGTTCTGCGGAATTGGCAATAAATTCTAAACTCACTCCTACAAATAAATGTATTTCTGCCTGCAATGTAATCGCTTGGATTATGACTAATCTCATCCCCCAAAAAAGTTGTTCATTTTTGTGGTCATTTTAATGTTTCCTCTCTTTGCTGTCGACCGCACAAATGGATGATTAGCCAAGTCAACACAAATACTCTTTGATTGATAATGGCTGTAGGTTAGTCGCTTGAAAGAATTTGTCTTTTTTTATTTATTTGTTGTTTGAGTTACGCTACAGTGACATACCTTTTGAAGTTTTGAATATAATAATAAAAAAATACTAATGACTAAATTAGAATGCGGCACCATTGTTATTTGTTGTTATGATTTTTTGGACTTATGTGTGCGTCGAAACTATGATGTAGATCAATGATTCAGCGTCATGATCCATTGAAATGGAATGAATGGAGGAAAATAATAGAATGATACACACTACAATAAAAATCGAATTGTTTCATAAAAAATCAATTAGATCATTTCAATTGTTATTAGAAATGACTTAATGTTATATATTTTGTTGTGTCAAAGACAAAAACAAATTGTGTACATTTAATTAATTTTCGTATTTTTTGTGGTATACTTTTATTGCCAAAAATATTTCAATTTCTTAGCAAAGTGATCCGTTTCTAAATGACATTTCATGTTTGAAATCACATTGTTCAAGATTAAACTAATCTCTTCTTTTTTCTCAATTCATAATGATTTATATTTTAATTGTCAATTTTATTATTTAGAGGCGCTAAAGTGTCAGTTTATATGATTTATTTCCTATAGAAGCGTTTATCTCGTTTCCAAAAATATTTATTAGAATATACGTGTAGGTACCATTATAAGCATACAGAATATGCAAAAAAAAAAAATGTTTATATTCAGTACCGATTCATTAATATATTTCAAAAGAGCATGTGATCAATAAATAAATTAAAAATAAATTCCACATTTTAGAATAAAAAAATGCTGTATCAGTTTGATCAGTAGTATTGATTTTATAAAATTACTTTTACTTTATTTTATAAAATTTTAAATTATGTGCCTTACTTTCCAATTCACACTTCCTTGACTCTGAAATAAATCGCTATAGAAAATCAAATTGAATGAAATAAAACCCAATATTAATAACTTCCTCGTTTATAAACAACGTCAAACATTCCCACACAATAGAAATCTGTTATTCGATATTGCAATACCTGCATATTTCAATAATGTTGACATTAGTCTATAATTCCATTAAAATGTTCATCTCCTGTTGTTAATAACAAAGTGACCGACCGTCCTCGATGATAAACATAAATGGAGATGGTCAAAATTGAATTATTTCTTTTCATCTTGTACCGGACGCTGTACGTTAATATCGTTTAGTTGTCGCTCGGTCAGTTGACCAAAGCATCCAATAAATGATTCACTTTTGCTGTGCACTGCTCTACAATGCATTTGGGTGGCCATTGTCCACGCAAACAATTACTACATCCCACACCATTGCATTGCAGTGATGTGGGTGACCCCATTTTGACCCGTATGACAATGATCAAGATTCGTTCATTCAAATCAACTCAGTTAATTGAAAATTATTTATTGTCAATTTTTAATAAATGACGTCGGCAGATGATGCTTAGCTAAGCATCCAAAACAGTTGGTCAAATTAACTGTATACGAATATGTTATTTTGGAATTCATAAAGAGAAGAAGGTGGTTTTTGTTTTAGACCGAGTAAAAACGACATTAGAGTAACTTCGGGTAATGTGGGCCACCATTTTCTTTTTTTGATATTGAGGGCGTAACAACGGTAAAAAATAAAAACAAATTGTTTTCACAACATAGTAGATTTGTTGGCTAAATATATTCCAGGTCAAATATTATTTATATTTGTCTATAAAAATGTTATTGCATTATATTTCAAAAAACTCTAAACTGCGAATAAAAATAACTTGGCGGGTAATGTGGACCAGTATGTGTGGGTAATGAGAATCAGTAAGTTAAATGTAGGTTGTGGATTGGTTGTGATAAATTTCAATTTATTGCACTCTTGGGTAACAATGAATGCAAAAATATATGGATTCATGTTTTGGAATAGCCCCCATTTAAGGGTACCGCCCCATTTGCGGTATTTTGAAGGTCCTTGCTTCATTATCCAACCGAAGCATCTGAAATTTCGCATATCGAGTTTTCAGAGGATAGAAT